CCCTGAGACCCCAGGCTGGCCCCTCCTGAAAGCAGCCCAGGTCCCACTCCCATGGAGCTTCCAGACCGGCTTCTTGGTTGCGGGGGTTCTCCAGGGTCAAGGCTTGGCACCTGGACAAAGCCCCTGGCCTCCCAGGTGTGGCCTCTTCCCCACCCCGCCTCCATCCTCCGTCCACGGACATCGAGCTCTTCAGGCTGTGCTGGTCAAAGGTGGGGCCCACGGCCTCCCTGCTCGCCCATGTCCTCCTGTCTGTCCTGGGCCATCTTAGGCACGGCCAACCTCACCCAGCTCCATCCCCCAGCCCTTGCTGCCAGCAAAGGCTCCTGATGAAGAGGACGGGCAGGCACAGCGCATGGAGGCTATAACGGACTCGCAGAATCACTGAAGCCCACAAGAGTCTCCTCCAGTGAGACCCCCACCCCGCCCTGCTGTCCAGCACCCACACGGCGCCTTGTCTCCTGAGGGAGACCACCACACCTGCTGCGACTCCAGGGAGGGGCAGCCCCTTGGGAAATGACAGCTCCAACAGCCCTGCTTGGGGGTGGACCCAACACCAGGCCTCACATGGCCTCAGATGGCCTGACCACCGCCACCTTGGAGAGACCCTCTCCTCGGCCCTGTTCTCCTGTCCGGGAACCCGGGGTGCTGGGGGCGCCTGGGTCAGAACCAGACCCACAACTCTCCTCCCTGAGCTTCCGGGCAAGGCCGGTCAAGAAGGACAGAGAAGTTGCCCAGGGCACCCATGGGGGTGGGGGGCCCAGGGTCCTTTCCCTGCGTGGCGTCCCCAGGGCTCTGTGAAGGGGGCGTCACAGACAGTTTCACACTGGAGTCATGGCTTAGACACCAACAGGTCTTAACAGTCACCTATCAACGAAGACAGTAAACAGAGCGCGTCAGGCAAACCGAACAGGCCTGAAACGGCACGGAAAACACCACTGGCCACGAAGGGCCTCAAGACTCACCTCCACCTCCTGGGAATAAAAGGCCCAGCAAGCGCCTGCTGCACCCGATACCTTCTGCAGGAGAACCCGCCGGGCAAAGACCTGGGGCAGGGCTCGTGTCTCGAGGCCTCGCTAAGCGGGTGAATTGCCAAAGGCACCCCAGCCACCCGGCCGCCCCCCAGCAGAGGACAGAGACAGCAGCAGAGGCCTAGGGAGCCTCCATCCAGCCGGCTCTCCGCCGCGGACGCCTGTTCCCCTGCAGGATGGGGCACCCGCAGCCCCGTCACCCCTCTCTCCCCACATCCCCTTGAGATACAGCCGGAGCCCTTCACTCGGGTCATGCGGCCCCGTCCTTCTGACCTCTGACCTCCACCCCTGCTGCCCCTGCGCCACCCACATCACAGGCGGCATCTTCTCAACTCCTGGGACAGCCAAGCTCCCACCTCACTCAGGACTCAGGGTCTGTGCCCGTGCCATGCCCACCCACCACCAGCACCTCAACCCCATCCCACTCCCCACAGCACCACAGCCTCTGTCCACGCCTGCCCATGTCCGCCCAAGTCTGCCCGGCGCAATCACGCGGTGACCTATGTGCTGCTTTGCTCACGTCAATCATCGGTGGGGGCTGATGGAGGGCAGGGTCTGCCTGTCTCTGCAGATGCCGCCAGCCTGGGCACTGCCTGGCATGGAGGGCATGCTTTCCCTAAGGGCAGGGCCCAGCTGTCCGTGTTGTGGTGGGGCCCCAGAGCCCGGGGAGGCCGGCTCATAGGAGATTCTCAATTGCGTACATATTGGGAAAAGATCCTGGTACTGAAGGGCAGAGGCCACAGAGAGCCCCAACCCTGGGCAGTGTCCTGGGTGTGGGGGCTCAGCCTGAGCTCTCAGTGGCCCCCATGGACAGTCTCTACAGAGAGGCCGTGTGTGAAGCCTTGGCCATGGAGGGCTCAGAGACTGGATGGTCCCACACTCATGGGCAGAGGAGGCTCTGGCCAGGTCCAGGTGGGTGCAATTTCACCAGGCTCCAGTGACTTGGGTGTTGCCGTGGGGAGGGGCACCAGGTGGAGGGACAGGCTCCAGCAAAGATCTGGAGGCAGGTGGTGGGGGGCGGAGGAAGAGAGGGGGAGCGTGAAGGGCCTGCACTGTAACGGGTGCCACACAGGACAGGACACGTGTGCACACTCACACGCCTTGCAGGCAGAGCTGGCTGACAGTATCTACTCTAGACACAGAGTTAAGATTAAACTCGGCCGGGCGCGGTGGCTCACGCCTGTAATCCCAGCACTTTGGGAGGCCAAGGCGGGTGGATCACGAGGTCAGGAGATCGAGACCATCCTGGCTAACACGGTGAAACCCCATCTCTACCGAAAATACAAAAAATTAGCCGGGTGTGGTGGTGGGCGCCTGTAGTCCCAGCTACTTGGGAGGCTGAGGCAGGAGAATGGCGTGAACCTGGGAGGCGGAGCTTGCAGTGAGCCAAGATCTCGTCACTGCACTCCAGCCTGGGTGACAGAGCGAGACTCCGTCTCAAAAAAAAAAAGATTAAACTCTTAGTCCCAGGCCTCCCCATCCTGCCCAGAGGACGCTAACCTACAAGGAGGGATGTCTGCCCTGCCGGAGCCCCAGGGGGAAGGTATGTGAACCCCCCAAGGGGGGCAGTTCTTGCCCTGACCCACTTCGCCTACACAGGGCACAGTCCTGTGAGGTCTGGGCTGGCAGCTGGGATGAGCTGCACATATCAGCTAAGGGGTCTCAGCCTGAGGAGCAGCCTCAGGTCAGGCTCCAGAATGGAGACCCTGCAGCACAGAGCGGCAGGGGGCGTCTTCTTCATCTCGAAGCCAAGGCTCCCAGAGGCTCAGGGCTCCATGACATGTGGCCACATGCGTGAGCAGTGAGTCTCATGCCACCATGGAAGTGGGTGACCCTGGTGGCCCTGCCAGTACCCCACCCCGAACCCCTTCCTGAGCCTTTGGCTCCTGGGGTCTCCTCAATGCAGCAGGGCAGAGCCTGGGAATCAGACACAGCACAGCCCTGCTCAGAGCTGGCAAAGTTCACACTGTTCTTTGGGGAGAAAGGCTCCCAGAAGAGATACCTGGGCCCTTTGACCTGAAGCTTGGTAACACAAAATTCTCAAACTTGTCAAAAAAAAGAGGGGGGCTACCCAACCCACCCCCATCCTCCCAGGTCCCCCACCCACATGCAGTGACTAGAGCCATGGTCAAGGACTCTTCTTGCCCAAGGCAGAGGAGGCACAGTGGGCTGCCAGATTGCCAACCTGGCCGGGATAAAAGGCCTTTGACAGCTCCCTGCTGCGATTCAGCAGTGACCCTAGAGGCTGGCCTGAGGGGACACGACTCTGCCCAGTCCCTGGAGAGTCCCCAGGTCTGCTGGGGAAGCCCTGTGGCCCTCAAGACAGGATGACTCTTTCCCTCTTGGCTGCAACCAAATTTCCAAGGGCCTGCATGTGCGCCCTGCATCTGTCTACTGTCCACTGCAGAGATGAAACAGGAACACGACTCCACCTGCTCCTCTCCGCCCCGAGGTCACATCCCACCAGCACAGTCGTGCCTCACTCTGCACCTGAGACTGAAGCACCCATTTCTCCTGCCCAAACCCCAGTACCATCAACCCCAGCACATTCTCACACCACCTTCAACAGATGGAAACCAAGCTCACCAGTGTCCCCCAAAGCAGCCTCGCTTTCTGACGCCCAGACACCACCAGCTGCCACTGGCCAGACTCCAAACTGGGGTACCAGCCAGGCTAGTGCCTGTCCTTCATGTGGTCAACCGACGGGCATTCGAGTCTTCGAGTGGACCACCCTTGCCCTCCCCATTCCTGCTTCCAGCCCCTCCCCACCCAGTCTCCTAAGGGACTCCTGCCACTGAGGAGTAACTGAAAGATACCAACTTTCAAGGCCTGGGAAGGTCCTTGGTCCCCCGAGCCTGTTGCAGGGCCTCAGATTATCTCCGCAGCCCTAGCGAGCCTCCCAGGAAAGCTCCGGAAGCTCCTTCCTTCCTGGAGGAAGCACACGATGCCTCCTCGGCAGTCCCCAGGTCCGCCCGCAAGCCTGTGCCCCTAAGCCGAGGATGGGACACCCAAGCTGCACAGCCACAGACTCCGAGGGTTTTGCGGCTCAGAACTCGGAAACAGCCCCTTCTGGCCCTACTAGCTTCAGGAGGAGGAGGTGGGGGCCGCGCAGTCCAGCTGCGCTGCGCAGCCCACAAAGCATCGTTTCCTTTTTAAGACGGGAGACCCAGGGCTCATTAGCATCGAAGCAAAGCAGCCTCCCGAGCCCGGACTGGCGAGGCCTTTGTTCAGCCCCTCCCCCGAGGGCAGCGGGCTCCGGGAAAGGATTCGCCTCCCAGGCGTCCCAGGGAGCTTCGGACTCGGGGCAGAATGGAAACTTGGCCAAGGGAGCCCGGGCCGATCCCGACACAGAAGACGCCCGCGCTGCGCCCCGGGCACGGGCTCCAGCCCCTTCTCGCCCCCGCATCGCTCCACGCCGGACGGAATGGGGGGCAGCGGGGGCGGGCAGGGTCGGCTTGCTCGCGGGTGGGCAGGACGCTCTCACCCCCGCCCCCCACACTCGCAAACTCGCAGGCACAGCCTCCGTCATCGCCCCACCCGGCTCTCAGAATCCGAACTTGGCCACTCACTCGGCGCCCGGGGCCGGCTGCGGGACACGCTCGTACAGATAGAGACACGCGCACCCGGGGGCGCATACGCCTCTCCCGGCGATGGGGCCCAGGCAGCCCCGCCCGAAGGCTTCCGTCCCGCCCGCCCAGCCAGTCGCTCCCCGGCACCTGTCCCCGCCGCTCCGGACCCGCGGCCGCCCCCCGCGCGCGCCCACCGGGGACAGGACCGGGCGCCGCGGTTCCCCACGCCCCGCAGGCGACACCACCTTCGGCCGCAGCAGCCTGGGGTCCGAGGCGTCCGCGTCGGAGCTGGCGCGGGACCCAGCGAACGGGCCCAGGAGCGGAGGGACTCGCCGGGACCCCGCAGCCGCCGTGGGTCGGGCACCCGGAGCTCCAGGAGGCCCGCAGAGGGGTCGCCACTCACCAGCTGAAAAGTGCAGAGGACGATGAGCGCGCAGCGGCCGGAGCAGGAGCCCATGGTGCCCGCCTATGCAGGAGGCCTCCGGGTGCCCCGCGCTCGGCCCCCGCCCCAGCCCCGCCTGCTCCCCCCGCGCTGCAGCCTCGGCCCCGCCCCCTCCGCGTCCTGGCCCCCGGCCCCCCCGCCCCTCAGCCCCCGGCCCAGCCCACCCCCGAAACAGCTGCGCAGCCTCTCCCCACAACCCCCGCCTGCGGCCCCTGGGGACTTCGCGCCGGCCGGAGAAGGGGACCCTTCTTAAAGGGGCGATGGCGCGGCTTCTCGGGTAGCGAGGGGCGGCGCCGAGGCCCCAAAACAGACCCGCAGCTGAGGGGAGCCCGCCCCGGACGCGGTAGGGATGACCGGCGTCCGCCTCCTCCTCCAGGATGACCTTCCCGGCACCTGCTCCCACCCTGGGCCCGGCATGAGCTCCCCATCAACCTTCCCCGTGGGGGTCCGAGCGACCCTCATCCCCGAGGCGTTTTCTCTGAGAGTCTCAGAGATTCCTTGACTTGGAGAAGTCCTGGACCCGGGTCCAGAGCTCAGAGGTCCCCTCTACGGGCGAGCCGGCCCAGGACTCAGGAGGAGGGAGTGAGCCGGGTTCGCCCACTGCCCACCGCGAGCTCCTCTGCTGGAAGGCTGAGATCTGAAGGCCAGGTCTGCTCTAACTGCTGGACCGGCCGCCTGCCTGCGCCGGAGGGGCTTGGGGAGCCGCGGGTTGGAACAGCCTGAGGCCCTGTGCATGGTGGAGGCAGGTCCCAGCTGTCCAGGGCAGGTCCTGGGGTCTGGATGGGGCTGAGCCTGGTAAAGCCTGTGCTTCCAGAAGAAGCTTGTGCTGGAGGCAGGGGATGGTCCCAGCTAGGCCAGAGAGGAGCAGGAACTGGACCCAGTGAGCTGGAGCCTGTGGGGGCAGAACAGCAGGAGATCACCGTAGGTGGCCAGGCCAGGGCTGCCACTTGGTCTTTACTCAGTGGCAGGGCAGGCTCCCTGACTGCCACCCACCGTCTGAGGAGCCTGAGATGGGTTTCCCATGGCAACCTGAATTCCTGCCCCACTCGCGATTTTACGAATTACTGAGGATTCTTGCCTTCCTAACTTTGGTTGTATGTCCCGCAGTCCCAGGGATCAGGAGGGGTTAACAGAAGACCAGGGGTCAGGTTTTCTGCACTGGGGGGAGCCGCTGCACATCTGTAATCCAGGTTCATGGGGGGTGGGTAGCTTCCAAGCCCCAAAGGTCAGAGAGCAAAGGCGTGGCCAGCTGTGTGGGGGGCAAAGGTCAGAGAGCAAAGGTGTGGCCGGCTATGGAGGGAGGGTGGGGCAAAGGTCAGAGAGCAAAGGTGTGGCCGGCTGTGGAGGGAGGGGGGGCAAAGGTCAGAGAGCAAAGGTGTGGCCGGCTGTGGAGGTGAGGGGCAAAGGTCAGAGAGCAAAGGTATGGCTGGCTGTGGAGGTGGGGGGCAAAGGTCAGAGAGCAAAGGTGTAGCCAGCTGTGAAGAGTGGGGGAGCCAAGGGTCAAAGAGCAAAGGTGTGGCCGGCTGTGGAGGAAGGGGGCAAAGGTCATAGAGCAAAGGTGTGGCCGGCTGTGGAGGGAGAGGGAGCCAAAGGTTGTTTGCAGTGTTGGGGACATAAGAATATTCAGGAATGAGATGGTGGTGATGGTTGCACCGCTGTGTGAATATACTGTAGACCACTGGGCACTACAATCTAACGGGGTGAATATTATTGGTGTGGGGATTGTATGCCAATTTTTAAAAGATGTGAAAAAATTAATGTTTATTTGTACAATATATAAGACATTGATTTTTAAATACAGCGGTACCATCCCCACCCCCCATATCCCTGGTTCCTCCAGGCACTTGGAGCCATCGGTGGAAGGAAGGACGTGGACTCCCAGAAGATGATTTGCAAAGGTTCCACGTAAGCAGAGGGGCCCCGTAAGCAGAGGCCCAGTACCACGTAAGCAGAGGAAGGCCCGGAGCCAGCTGCTGAGGTCCTGAGGGAGAGGGAGGGGCACCTGCTCAGCCTTGCCTGTGTGTGTGGATCCTTCTCTCTCAGTCTCTCTCAGGGGAAGCTGCCTGGACATGCATGCGCTTTGCGGTTCTGTCCTTCCAGGCTGCCTGTTCTTCCTCTTGAAAGCAAAAGCCTTCACTTGCCGAGGATGCGACGATGCCCCAGTGCCCCTTGCAGAAGCCAGTATCAGAGCCAGGAGCCGTCACGGGCATCACCTGCTCCAAAGTTACGAGTTCTGGTGAAGGGGTTGGGACAGCCCCTCTGAGAGTTCAGCAGAGCAGGTCTGCACAGGACCCACGCCGTGCACAGCCCACACTCCACATGCCTTGGTGCACACTGATGGCGGCAGCCAGCCACGGGGACCCCAGGCACAGCGTCGCCCGCATGGACGTTAGAGCAGCCTCCAGAGGCTGGTTCCGTTTCCACACCTGGTTCACGGGTGACACAGTTGTAACTTGGCCCAGGTCGGTTGTTGGGGCCTGGCCAGCTGTGAGCGGTGAGGTTTTCTCAGACACTTCATCCACCCTCGCTCTTGTTAGAATTCCTTCTACCTAAGAGCGACAGCTTTGAAAGTGGAATGGCACCACGTCTCCATCCTTACACAGAATCCCACATGGGAAGACCCTAGTCGGAGGCCCCCACCCTTGCCCAGAGCTGGACTTTGGGGCAGCAGGAAACTGCAGTGAGCGTGAGTCACACCTGAGGACAGGTGGGCTGTCTTCAGGCTCTCAACAGGTGTGTTGCCTAAGGGACTGGGGAATGGGGGCCAGAATGCCACGGCCTGCCCACCTTGGGGACTATGGGCAGAGCTGGAGCAGCCAGGCAGGAAAATATCCTCCAGTTTCCAGAGAGTAAAAGCTGATGGTCCTACCGAGGCATGAAGGACAGTGATGGACAGTGATGGAAGGTGATGGACAGCGGAGGACAGTGATAGCAACAGAGAGTGAAGGACAGTGATGGACAGTGACGGGCAGTGATGGAAAGCAAAGGACAATAATGGACAGCGGAAGACAGTGGAGGACAATGATGGACAGCAAAGGACAGTGGAGGACAATGATGGACAGCAAAGGACAGTGGAGGATAGCGGAGGACAGTGATGGACAGTGATGAACAGTGATAGACAGTAAGAGGGCAGTGATGGACAGTGATGAACATAGTGAGAGAGACAGTGATAGACAGAGAGACAGTGGAAGGAGACAGTGATAGACAGTGATAGACAGTAGAGAGACAGTAGAGACAGTGATAGACAGTAGAGGGCAATGAAGTAGACAGAGGAGGACAGTGGAGGACAGTGATGGACAGTGGAGGACAGTGATGGACAGTGGAGGACAGCGATGGACAGCGGAGGACAGCGATGGACAGCGATGGACAGTGATGGACAGTGGAGGACAGTGATGGACAGTGGAGGACAGTGATGGACAGTGATGGACAGTGGAGGACAGTATTGGACAGCGGAGGACAGCGATAGACGGCGGAGGACAGTGATAGACAGACGGGAGGACAGTGATGGACAGTGGAGGACAGTGATGGACAGTGATGGACAGTGGAGGACAGTGGACAGTGGAGGGCAGTGATGGACAGTAGAGGAGACAGCGGAGGACAGTGATAGACAGCGAGAGGACAGTGATAGACAGTAATGGACAGTGAAGGAGACAGTGAGACGTGATAGACAGTGGAGAGAGACAGTGATAGACAGAGAGAGACAGTGGAAGACAGTATTAGACAGTAGAGGAACAGTGATAGACAGTAATAGACAGTGATAGACAGTAGAGAGACAATGGATAGACAATGATAGACAGCGAGACAAAGGACAGTGGAGGACAATGATGGACAGCAAAGGACAGTGGAGGATAGTGGAGGACAGTGATGGACAGTGATGGACAGTGGAGGACAGTGATGGACAGTGGAGGACAGTGATGGACAGTGATGGACAGTGGAGGACAGTGATGGACAGTGGAGGACAGTGATGGACAGAGGAGGACAGTGGAGGACAGTGATGGACAGAGGAGGACAGTGGAGGACAGTGACGGACAGTGGAGGACAGTGGAGGACAGTGATGGACAGTGGAGGACAGTGGAGGACAGTGATGGACAGTGATGGACAGTGGAGGACAGTGATTGCCTCTAGCAACTAGAATCTGGAAAGATTCCTGGCTAAGATGCACATGGGAGGGGCCAAAGCAGGAGGGCCCTGTGGGTCCAGCTGTCACAGCCCCAGGATCTGAGCTGTCAGTTCTGCAATCTGAGGAGCTGGCCCTGTCTCAGCACATTCTTAACTGCGACTCCTTAGCCGCCGTGGCCACACATAATTCAGCACAGCTGCGAGTTTCTTGGAGCTCAGGACAGAGCAGCTCAGAATTGTCTAGCAACATTTGTACTTCTGGGCGATGCACACACCCTGACATTCCTCCAATTTCCTTCTGTCCTGGGCCCCAGTTCTTCCCGGACGCCGTGCACAGGCAGCAGCGGGGTGGGGTCAGACAGGGCTGGAACCAGCCAGGTGTAGTGTCCCACCATGCAGTGGGTCAGAAGCCAGGACCAAGGCAGCACCATTGTGGGCAGCCCCGGTCAACCCCACACGCTTCTCTCCAGGACCAAGGCGGCATCATCATGGGGAACCCTGGGCCCACCCCACGTCCTTCTCTACAGACACAGGACAAAGCCGTTTCAGAAGGACCTGGGGGTGGAAGGTGATCAACAGGAGACAAAAATGGGCAGAGAAAAACACAGGCATCCACAGGACACGCCATGGCCAGGGTGTTTGCTTGGCCGCACCACCATTAAGACGATGAAAATTGAACAGCAATGGTAACGCATGTGCTCAGAGCCTGGCGGAGACAGCCCCCTTGGTAATGGAAGCCTGGGAGGGGATGCAAGAAACAGGCACAGTCCCATCAGCACATCTGGCACAGGGGTTTGGAGGACAATTCGGTGGAATCTCCCAGAACTTACCTGGCACTTCCACCTCTAGAGGTCTATGCTGTGGAAATACTTGCACAAACAGAGAGAGGTCACGAT